GCACTTTGGTTTGGCATTTAGTTGAAAGTCATAGTGACGGACAGAGGGGACGGACGGATCGACTGGTGACCTTGACAGTGGGCCAGTTTCAGAGTTCAGCTGGCACTGGGGTTGCTGTGGTGACTAGGGCTGGATTCTGGGATGGTACACAGCAGGCAGTTGGACATGATCTCGGGGGTTGTCTGATGGTGTCTCTCCGATGGTGTCTGTGTGCGCACATGCTTATACGTTTTCAATAGCTTATTCCACTACCATCAGCCATTAAGGGAATTAGATATTTTTAGTGCACACCATGAAAGGCCACTGTATGTGTTATGAGATTTGTGTTAAAGGTAAATTTGGCCTGTGAAATGCTGCCCTCATGTGGGTTATTGTGTAAACATATTCTAACGTAGTTTGTGTGTGTGTCTACTTGCAATCCAGGAAAGCAGAACAGATGTTTGGTGAGCTTGAGGTGTGGAGCTGTGTACCAGAGAGAGACAGGCTGGAGATATATGAAGATGTGTTGTTCTACCTTGCTAAGAAAGAGAAGGTAAGGTTTTGTTCTCCAGTTCAGAAAAAAATCCCTTTAAGTCTTTGTGTGTGATTTCACTCTGCATGTTCATCATGGGGTTTGTGAACACTGACATTTCCAGGAGCAAGCCAAGCAGCTAAGAAAAAGGAACTGGGAAGCTCTGAAGAACATTTTGGACAACATGGCCAACGTCACGTACCGCACCACCTGGTCTGAGGCCCAGCAGTACCTGCTAGACAACCCTACCTTTGCAGAGGATGAGGAGCTGCAAAGTATGAGAGCAAAAAATGATGTCTTTTGTTTACTTACTTTAGTTGGAAACAGATGTTAGAAGTGTAAAAACAAAGTTTCAACCACACTTCATCCAAAATAAACCACAGGTTCACTCGCCTGTAAACTGCTTGATTTCTCCTTGTTAATAGTGTTGGTATCTACTCACAGATATGGACAAAGAGGACGCTCTCATTTGTTTCGAGGAGCACATCCGGGCGCTGGAGAAGGAGGAGGAGGAAGAGAAACAGAAGACTCTTCTCAGGGAGAGGAGACGACAACGCAAGAACAGAGAGGCCTTCCAGGTAAGAAGGAATGGAGGGAAACGTGTATTTTCAAACACTTACAAACTGGAAATCATCCTGTCAGGGAAAGAAATGGCAGTTTGATGTCCTAAATATATATTTATATTAATATTGGGTATCAGTTGCTGTTTCTCAATTTAAACTTTGCTGTTCTCGGTCAGAAATTTCTGGATGAGCTCCACGACCACGGTCAGCTCCACTCCATGTCTGCCTGGATGGAGATGTACCCGACCCTGAGCTCAGACATCCGCTTTGCCAACATGCTGGGCCAGCCGGGTAAGGACAGCAGGCCGCGGCTCACGTGGCTTCACACATCCACATGAGCTGAATGCTCCAAAGCACGTGGATGCATGCAGACAACAGCACATGACATGAACACAGCAATAAAGCTTACACAGCTCGGTGTAAATACTGTATGAACCTCAACTGCTGAGTACTGTTGCATAAGAGTTTTTTTAAACCCCATTCCTTTTTAAATTTGTTTATGTATTTTTTACATTTACCCAAAACATTCTGCACCCAGAGTCCTATATAATTGTTCATTAGTAACAACCTGATGGTTTCTGTTGTTTTTTTCTTTGTACTTTTGCATCTTTTGATTGATCCTGTCTTTTCTACAGGTTCCACTCCCCTGGATCTGTTCAAATTTTACGTGGAAGATTTGAAGGCCCGCTACCATGATGAAAAGAGGATCATTAAAGATATTCTTAAGGTAAGATTGTTCACAAACTGTTGACTTCACATCTGCCCATGTCCGTGTTTCCTTCAAGAGGTTTTTATGTTTTCTTATTTCATGTCACCCAACTTGTTCATCTTTTGCTTCCCTTCTTATGTGTTCTTGCTGGTGTTGCCAGGACAAAGGCTTTCTGGTGGAGGTCAACACTAGCTTTGATGACTTTGGATCAGTCATCAGCTCGGACAAGAGAGCCACCACACTGGATGCAGGAAACATAAAACTAGCCTTCAACAGTGTAAGACTTTTTCCACTCGCTTCTCACAAATCCCACATAGTACTTTTTCATTGTTTATATTTATTATGATTAACCCATTTTCAACATCTTTGTGTAGTTACTGGAGAAGGCTGAAGCCAGAGAGAGAGAGCGAGAGAAGGAGGAGGCCAGGAAGATGAAAAGGAAAGAAGCAGCCTTTAAAAACATGCTGAAGCAGGCCACACCTCCACTGGAGCCAGAGACTACATGGGAGGGGGTATGTGGTTTTGCAGCACCAACTATTGTCTATTTGTATCCCTCTCCCAGTTATTTAGTTATAATAATTTCTAAATTAGTTGTAAAAAGTAATAAACGGTAGCTTGTCTTTTCCATTTTGATTAAACAAGTATGTCACTTACATTTTACAATTTCAGATCAGAGAGAGATTCTTAAAAGAGTCTGCCTTTGAAGATGTGACGCTGGAGTCAGAGAGGAAAAGGATATTCAAAGACTTCATGCATGTCTTAGAGGTAAATAAGTCTGTCATGCCAGTGGGAATGGGCTTTATTTTATTGATGACAAATGATGTTGATGTTTAACATGTGTTTTTGTTTTTTTAAACAGCATGAATGCCAACATCACCACTCCAAGACAAAGAAGCACTCGAAGAAGTCCAAGAAGCACCACAGGAAACGATCCCGCTCTCGATCGGTTCGTAGTCTTTACTACTGTGCATAGACAAGACAATAAGTCCTCAGTAATGTACAAGAGTACCCTCTTTGCCCATATGTCAATACTCCGTCACATGCCTCGTTAATCTCCGAACTACTGTGTTGACAGGGCTCAGAGTCTGAGGATGAGGAATACCACAAGAAGAAGAAGAGGTCACAGTCCAAATCTCCTTCTGAACGCTCATCTAGTGGAGAATCCGGTGAGTGGCTTTCAAAGCTAAGATGATCTGTTTATTATTGTGTGGAAGAAGTGCAGCAATATTGACATTTACTGACATTTTCTGCCTGAAACCAGAGAGAAGCTACAAAAAGTCCAAGAAACACAAGAAGAAAGGCAAAAAGAGACGTCACAAGTCCGTAAGTATACAGGAAGACCCCAAAATCCATTTATTGTTATTTATTTATTGTACTCTAAATGTGCATCTTGTGTTTGTTTGTGCACTGATGGTGATTATGGCAACCAGGCATCGCCAGACTCTGACAATGAGAAGAAAGGAAGAGAGCGCGATGGAAAACGTGAAAAGGACCTAGAGAAAGATAAAGAGAACGACAAGTCTCGAGTGAAATCTCGCTCCGACTCTAAACAGAAGTCTCCGAAGAGAAAAGCGGCGAAAGAGGAGGTTGGTTTTCTGTTTCAGTTGTGGTAAAAGAAAAAACTCTATGAATGACGATGATGAAAAACGACGATGATGAAAAACTATGAATAAGTGTATGAATATGCGTTGTCATGGTTAAGAACACAGAGATGATTTTTTTTCCCCATCAAACTGATGTGTTAATAGCTGTTGTTAAGGTTACCTGCATGTTGAATTTGATGCAAATGTTAATAGTGAAAGTTAACTAACTGTTTTTGAACTGTTACTGATTGAACTTCAACTCTAACATTCAGCAATTAGCCCAGTAAATCAGCTTTCTGGCGTATTAGAGGATTCTTTTTTCTGTGTGTTTTAGCACGGCAGGAGGTTTGTTGCTACCAGCCAAAAGTCCGATCTTTAGATGTGGCTGTCGAGTTGGTCATTTAGAGGTCGTCTTCTGAAAACTCAGTGAGTCACTTTCATCGTTATTAACATTTCTGAGTCTTTGTGTTTTCTGTGTTGTGTTCAGGGCGGCTGGGATACATCAGGCAGTGAGCTGAGTGAAGGAGAGCTGGAGAAAAGGAGAAGAACTTTACTGGAACAGCTGGATGCACCTTGATGATCGCACTTCCGCTGCCCTTATATTGTATTTGTACATTTCTACAAACATGCATTCCCCTCCGAGCTCATCTGACTGTACTGGTCACACCACCCTGGGCGAACTGTGTGAAATAACACCTTTCTCTGGTAATTACGGGAATGTGCTACACTGAGCTTATACACTTATTTGGTTACTAATTTGATATCAGGAAACTGATCAGCTGATCAATCGTTAAATGTCAGATTGTCTTTTTGTTGCTTTTTGTTAGCTTTAAGATTCTTTTTTTAGTTGATTGTAGTTGTACATGTGTTTTTCCATTGCCAATCATTTTTTTATATTCAATTAAAAGTATATCTTTAATGTCACGGCGACTGAAATAGATTTCAAGACAACACCTCTTTCATGATCTCTGGACACACCCGGAGATGATGAAAACAATATTTTTGATTTGGTCCAACTTAACTGCAGCTGTTCTCGAGGAATGGTCCAAGAAGATTTTAATTGGAGCGTTTGTTAAAATTGACATACTGTAGTGAAATGTAATAAAATACAGTTTCAATGGATTTCGTCTGTAATTGGATACTTTAGGAGATCAGTAAGGTCAAAGGCAAATGTTATCTTATTTATATTTGTATAGTTTCTTACATTTATGAAACAGGCACACCTAACCGAACCTTCCAAAGTATCCTCATGCTCGTCTATCACATGTAGAAATAAGTCATACCCAAATATGTGACAGGCGCGCAAGAGGGAAGGTGCAATTTAAACAATGAGGGACTTGTGCACAATTGTCTCACTTACTGCTGAAATAAGATGCATTTATTAAACATTTAGCTCTATATGACCTTCATTAAGTATCTGACTTTAATCAGGGGTCTGGTACCTGATGAAGATCATATAGACTGAAACGACAGCGTGCAGAACTTTAACGGAGAAATGTATTATTTTCTCCATATAATTGTTATTATAATTGATTTCTAGTTTCCCAGGAGGTAGGCTACAGGTGTTTTTTGGGTTGTAGTCCAGAAAAATCGATTACTTTTCCCAACCAGTTTAAAAAAAAAAGAAGAAAAGGTAAACCAATGTAAATAGTTTATTTGATCATATTCGTTGAAAATCTCATATCACCTAATTTAAAAAAAAAAAAGCTTGTTATTTTGTAATAAGCACAAACTGCCTAAAATACATTTCTGGTGAAAGTAAAAAAAAAAAAAACACATGCCAGTATTATCCAGTTAGAGAAATGTCACTATTACAGACAGTGAAGTTGAGAGAAGAGAGATGATCGGCAGCACGTGCTTCAGTGGAGATAATTACAGGAGGGTGTATCACAAAGCCACAAAACCAGCTAATCACAGGTCAACTAATAGAAACTAGTTTTATTAGACACAATGTGTCTGATTTAAGAGCTTACATCTGTCCAAATGTACCAACATCTGGAACATGTTGCATGTTTTTGTAACTGGCTTTGTGATACACCCACAAGCAAATTCAGTGATCTGCTGCCTCCTGACAGTGAGACATTATGATTCAACACACTACTGTAGATTCATTTGGCTTAATTAAATATACAAAAATTGAAACAAACTATAAGTTAAAATAACATTCAAGTTGTATAGCACAAGGCAATGAAAACTTTTGTTTAAACAATATGTACAATATTAACCATCTGGTAATGTGAATTAAGTAAAAAAAAAAAAAGAAAACAAGGTTTGTAGCAAAATATCTGTACATTTAGGATTTTTTTTTGTGTTGTGTACTTGTTTTGCCATGACACACATTTAGATGAAAACATGAGCTTAAAGGAATCCTTTCAGTGGTTAAATACTATACATTAAAATTACAATAAAGTGAGTAGACACAGTAGCCTAGAATATAATTAATCTGTAAAAAAGAAAAGAGTAGATGGATGAAATGCAAAGTTGTGTCCAGTTCTGACAATAAGATCATCCAGTTGGGTTCAGTATATTTTGTGCAGTTTGGTAGAAAAAGTATTCTTTGTTGCTTTACAGGCTTTTATTTGTTCCCAGAAACCAAACAAATTGCTGTGCAGCTACAGAAATGTAACATTTTAAAAGGACAGTAGATCTTTTTATGTGAGCAGGCAGCCTACTTTTATGAATTAAGAGCTTCAAATTCTGGATTGATCCATTAAGCGTTGTAACAACTTATAAAAGAGAAGTCTGCATGGAGACGCCTGATATATACAATTCACATTAGCCCAGTCTCGTGTTGAAATGAATTACTGTTGATGTCTTTTTCTTTCATTCTTCGTCATCCTTATACTTATTTTTAGTATAAATATAGAATTTTAAGGATTTTCTGATCACCTTCTTCGTGCCTGATCATCAGCCCTTTTTAGTCAAAGTTGAAAAGCCTCATGAGATGTAAAAAAAAAAGGTGCAGGTTGAAAACAAGTTTGTAAAGTAGAAGAATGAAAAAGAGCACCGGAATGTACCGAGATACTACAGAGAGTCACACTCAACACTAGAAGATGTAATATTTGTAACAGCTAAAGGGAACACGTCCCATACATTCTACATTACGATTTCCAAGGGAGCCTCTCTTTGTGTGGCTCTTAAGTCCACCACAAGTCCACTTCTACACTTTCTTTTAAAATTAAAGCCAGGTCACATCGTATTGCTTGACGTGGGGAATATTTAAAAAAACAGCCATCAGACAAACAGAGGACAGCGTGACATTATCCCACAAAAATAAGTTCAGGCACTTGGCTCGTCTAAGGTTTTCTGCATCAACCTTTTCAGACACTTTAAATTTCAGTCCCCCACATGCCCCAGTCCTTCATAGTGAAACACTGCTCCTGTACCACAGACATGGAATAACGTGTATTCTTATGTAATATATATACATAGTCATCTCTATGGTTGCTACAACACTTGTCACTCATCCTTCAATCTGTATCAAACCTCCCATCTCTCCCAATCTTGACGTTACACATCTTCCCCCCCTCCCAGCACATGCACTGTTCCCTCGTCACATGACCACTTCGCCGTTGTTCACCGGCCGCAGGTTCTGATCATCAAAGCGCCTCCTGACACTCCTCCGCACGGCGTCTGCTCGCCTGTAAGGCTGATTCCTCAAATCTGAGAGTGAAGAAGGGGATTGGATGGGGATGGGGAGTGGGGGTGAATAAAAGAGCTGTCAGTCATCTTGTCAGGGCGTTTTGATGAGCCCACATTCTCAGAGTGCTGGCAGCCTGTCTTTCAAAGCAGCGTGAGTTCTACACAGAATAAAAAAGCCTTGCGGGTCAGCTGTCTCTGGGTGTTAAGACTGAGACAGGCCACAGGGTTTTGACTTGTAAGCCTCTGCCAGAAATAAAGGCCTTCCATGCATCTTGTTAAGACCAAGATGCATCTTCCCCATAAAAACTACTGGAAAGAGTAGCTATTTTTATCATCAGACATTCAAATTTACTGTTACGAAGGAGATATAGTGAGCAGAAAACAGAAGGTGAGGCAGAGGTAGGTCAATGCTGAGTCGACCCTAAGTGAGAAGACAGTAAAACAGGAAGGGAGGTAATAAAGAGATGCTTGCCAGGTTTGGGACACATCCACCACTACAGGGGTGCTACTGGACGAGTTCCTTACCCTCGAGTGGACATTGGGAAATTTAGTAATATTATTCTTCTTTAGGGCTAGATAAAGAGAAGACAAAATGAAGGTTATAAATGGAGGAAGAACAGGCTGATCAGAACATGTCAGCCCAACATATTCACACTGGCTTTGCTAAGAGAGCACTGCAAAGCAAAGTGGAAGCAGGCTGCATGGGAGGGGGGAAAGGCCAGAGTAGGCTAAGGGCATTAGAGGGGGACAGAGCTGGAGGAGGTTAACTAGTTCAACCGGCAGGGTGGAGGATAAAAGCTTCTGTCTCTTTTTTTTTTTTCCTGTGTTATAAACCCAGTCTGCTTTGCAGAGTGACTACCAGCAGGACAGAAGAAGAGCCCGTTTCAAAAGTCCAGTACAGAGCAATTGTGAACTGAAATAAACAAATATGATTTCAGAACACAGCAGGATTGTTACATTCAGCAGGATCTTGACCAAAAACCAAGCAAAGCATGCGTGCAGCCAGGCAAACACTGATTACCAACGGATTAATTACCAAAAGACAACCTGATTGCATGTTAGTAGCACACACAACTGCAAAGACTGACTGCAGTGTAAGTGATTAATAATTAATGATGATGAAATGCAGACATCATGCAGAATATTAGTGAGCCTGCCAGACCACAGAAAGTCATTTGACAAAGACCTGCAGGCGCAAAGCACAGCATATGGGCTAACTGGGAGAGTAGAGATGCATTGTGGGAAAGCGGCAGGGATGAAGCAATCAGCATGCAACAAGTTGTATCAGCTGCAGAAGCCACATGTGATAATGAACACACAAACATTCATTTTTTAATTAAAAACATTGATTGAAACACACAAAAGCAAGTTATAATGCCACAGGCACTTACACAATCATGACATTAGTCATACCTGCGGAGTAGATGATTGAAGCTTGTATATACTGTACATTACAACATGAGTGTAACATGTTGGGTGCTACTGACCAAACTGGATCATTAAATTAGACTAAAATCAGTGATAAACCCTGAAGTATTTGATTCATTAATCAGCATTTGTTTTCCATCTGTCGCCACTAGATGGCAGCTCGCAGCTTAACTTCTCTGCTCCGTTACTTGATGAGAAGAAGTGCACTCTTCACCAATTTTAATCGCCTGTCACTACAGATAAGAGTATGGCCTTGGAGACAGCTTCCTCTGTGACATTATGGTTTGCCATGGTTGATAAAATAATGATGATAAATAAGGGTGTCACACTTCATGCAGGTGGGCAGAGAACAACATTACCACCCAACACCAAGTCATGCTCAGGGGCGAGGGGAGAGGGGGGAACACACACACACACA